TCACAGCAATGTTAAGACAACCAAGGCATGCAGAACCCCTTCCCAGCTCCCCATAAAAGGAGCCATTCGCTCTGAACATCTTCCTCTCCCCTTCCCTGTTTGTACAGACCTGGGCATGCCACACACCTATATCAAACGTAAAATCTTTGCCTCAGTGTAGACAGAAGGAAAACAAAATGGAATCGAAGTTCCACGATTGTTTTGGTAAGAGTAAAACCACATGTATTGGATCAAGACTGAGAGACCACAGAATGAGAACATTACTTCTGAATAAAGGTGTGTGACAGCAAGATGCTTCAAAAATTGGAGATCAGCTGAAGGTTTGGCGACAGAGTCTTTATTAATCTCTTTTAATTAATTTTATTAATCTTTCTTTCTGAAAAGAAAAAAGAATGTTCATTTAATGTTGAAGACCATCTTTGAACTAAGGGTTGATACAAACATCCCAGATGACAGGGAAACCACACAGCAGAATGAAAGAGGTTAACAGCAAAGTCAAGTTTAAGCAGAGAAGCAAGTTGATTCATAAGCAGAAAATAAAAATAAAAATCTGTCACCTTCAAATCCTATTCATACTTTTAATGATGATAGATACCAGTGGTTCATACCTGCTGTTTGCCAGAACTGTTCTTGCTCTTTCAAATACCTGCTCCAAACCCCAGCGTTTTTCCCCATACCGCTTAGCAAAAGGAGAATGATGGTGTTTATGTACAGTTCTGCATGCCAGGGGCCCGATCCTGTAAAAAAAAAAAAAAAGTCAGTTGACTTCGTGGCATGTGGGAGGCACCTGTTATGTGTTCCTGCTCCCTGTGAAGGAACAGCAGCCTTATCACCCAGCTTGCCAAGGAGAGGATCGAGTCGGCAGCGCTTGCTGCAGAGTACGTGGCACCCCTGTCAGATAAGGCTGTGGCACCAGCCGAGTTAAGCAACACAAAAATTTCCCTGGCTCACGTATAGCGAGTAAAATCCCAATCCTAGACCTTCAGCTCCAGCAGAAATTTCTCATCGGTTCCAACTCCTTTGTTTCAGGAAAAACTGCAAGATCTGACCCCGATTCTGCATGTGACTGTGTTACCACAGGTTACAGGTTTTGTATAGATTCACAGATCCAATCATTTTAAGGCCAGAACTCATCACAGGGATTACGTATCTGATTGTTTGGGGTTTTTTTTGGTGTAATTCTGGTCACAGAACCCCACGCAGTAACTCCTTCAACTCCGTGACTGTGATTTGTGGAATAGATTATTTAAGCTTTAACCCCACCTAAAGATACAGCCTTAAATGAAATACCAAGGGATTAATTAAACTTGCACTTAAGAAATTCACTTTGTTGTTAGCCTAAATGTACCACTACCACCTCTACCATCCTAAATCTCCCTGAATTTCTCTTGATTTCTCTACCTTACATTCATGTCAAACCTGGGAGTGTCTTTGGGGTGTGATGAATTTACAGTCTTCCAGTCTAAAACATGAGTCCCAGGTACATGATCATTCTTGTAGCTCTTTTTTGAGTCCCTTCCCATCTTGCCTAATAAAGAAACCTCTGAGTGGAGTTGCACAGTCCTTGCACCGGGCATTGCACAAACACAGTTTCTAATTACTGCTCTGTTTAAGCTAAGGAATGAGAAAAGATAAAAAGAAGCAGCTTTGCCTAAAACAGGAAAGGAGTAAATAATTAAAAATATGTTAAGCAATCACACAGAATTTGTTAGTTAATGCTGTAACTGTTGTGCCTGCAAAAAATCACCCTCTAAAGGCAAGTATAGTTTTATTACAGGATGCGTTTCACCTGCTCAGTCATTATGTTAAGGTGGCTGTTAATGATAAAGCTGCCACTACACAGGTATTTAGAGTCAAAAATTGCCTGTGCAATTAAAATTAACTCCTTGAAAATACATGGGCGATGCACAGCGGTTCCTGTGGTATCCAAATCCTTTTTCAGTCTTTAATCAGAAACCAGAGGAAAGAAAAAATAGTTTTTGTCATGTTGTTCCTATTGAATGCACAGCATGGAATTACGGAATTTACCTTTGAACAGTTAAAAAACAGATACTAAAAAAAAAAAAAAAAAAAAAAAAAA